CATTCCTGATTGTTTCCTTGCTCTTCAGAAGCATTTTAATTTGATGGTTAGTTTAATTATTAACTCTTGGTATCATTACCTGAGCTTAGGGTCCTATTTGGAAGTCACTGCATTTTCCTCTAGGAGTCACACAGTTTCTGGTCTAATCCTGAGGTCTTTGGTCCGCTGTGACTTTGGCACAGGGTGGGAGGGACCTACTCGCTCTTCTACACTCGGATGACAGTTGTCCCAGCAGTTGGTTAGAGAGGCGTCTTCTCTCCAGGGTGTGTCTTGGCAGCTCTGTCCAGGACCAGATGTGTGGGTCTGTCTGTCTTCTCTTTTGTGCTGTTGGTCCAGCTGTCTGTTTTTACACCTTACCATGCAGTTTTGTGACTATGATTTTGCACTATAATCTAAAGTCAGAAACTGTGAGCCCTCCAGCATTCTTTTTTGGCTTAGAATTGCTTTGGCTATTCCGGGTTTTTTATTCCTCTAAATGAACTTGAGAGCTGTTTTTCCTAGTTCTGTGGAGAACTAGAAAATGACCCTGGAATGTGGATGGGTTTGCACTGAGTCTGCCTATTACTTGGTGGGAGGCCATTTTAACAGTATTGACCCTGCCTGTCCAGGAACACGAATCCGCTCTAGCCATCTTGTGGTGGAGCTTTGGGATCTGTGAAGTGTAAGATCTTATCTTCTCAAACAGTGGTACGTTGCCTTCCTCCTCTCCCACTTTTTATCCCTTTTCCTCTCTTGCCTCCTCTCTGGTAGAATTTCTAGCACTACACTAAACAGCAGTGGTGAGAGTGGACCCTCATCTTGTTCCAGACTAGGAAGGAAGTGCTCTCCGTTGTCCCCTTCACTACGAGGCTGGCTTTGAGTCTTCACACATCACCTTCATGATGTCGAGGCAGGTTCCTCTGTCCCTAGTCTCTTCAGGGTTTGTTTGTTTTTTTTTTAATCGTGAACGTGTGCTGAATTTTGACAAAGGCCACATATATTGAAATGACTAAGTAATCTTTGTCCTTAATTCTATTTATGCTGCACTCTCATTTTTAAGGCTTATATAACTAACCACAGAATGATAGGAAAGTTACAAAACGAAATGATCAATATTTGCCCAGGCAAATGTGTGTTCCCTTTAAAATATACTTAAAGTGCACTATTATCAGTATTATTATTACTATTCCTCCATTTCAGGGCCATCTGGCTTGGAAGGTGTAAAGACTGGTGGACAGTCTCCACAGCCATGCTCCAGGAACCTGGCTTGGTGGAGAGGCCCCAGAGGAACAAGGTTAGCATTCCTCTTCCCCCACAGGACTCCTACTTAGCTCCTTGTAAGCTGGGAGTGCTCTGTCACCTATTTATTGAAAATGAACCAGGCAGTGAAGAGCTGCCTGAATAGAACCCGCCCAGAGTCACATTGCTCCTGGCAACAGGGAAAGCATCTTCTCAGAGCTCCACTTCCCACATGGGAAGTGATGGGCACCTCCGAGAACTGCACCATGGTTGGTTCAGAGTCTTTCTCTCCCCCATCACGAGCTGCAATCCAGGAAGCCAGTGAGACCTCGTAAATCACCCAGAAAAGAAATGCACCACAGTTTACAAAATAACTTCTGGAATTCAGGAAGCTTGAACCAATCCATGGGTTTCTGGAGGATTAAGGTGAGCAGCTTCCAGCCCTGTGCTAGGAGCAGAGTCCAAGGACTTGGGAGACCAGCATGCATGACAGAGGCCCACTCGAGGCAGTGTCCTGGGACTGGAGGGCTGGAGCGGCTCCCTGCTGGCTCTGGACTCCCACGGTCCTTCCCCCAGCACGGGTTGCTAGGCAGGGAGACCTACGCTCTGTCTGCAACACCAAACCACCCAGGCCTTCCAAAGCAGAATGTCCCAGAACAGAGCCATTCAAACAGGAGAACCGTCACGTGAACATGCAGTGAGAGCAGGAACTCCTGCCTGGCCCCTCAAGACGATTCGGAACGAGACAGTAAGGGACCAGAAGGGGAGAACAGAGCATGGACTGGAGCTGTCACCCCCGAAGGAGCAAGACCCAGGAAAGGGCTGAAGTCCTGGTGCAGACAGAGGGGCCAACTCCAGGGCTGCAGCTGGGCAGGATGCGTCCATGTTACAGCTCTGACACCACAGGACCCCTCGCCTCCTGACCAGCCACAGTCCCTCTCCATCCTGTGTGAATCTGGATAGACCAGGATCCCAGCACTCGCTCTGCCGCCAAACGTGCTGGCCACTGACCGCATCCCCAGACGAAGGGCGGCAGGACACTCTTGAGTCTGAAGAAACCCCACAGGATTCTGAGCTGAGTCCCACCTCACAAGCCACACAGAAGCGACAAATTTCAACTGATTTGTTAAGACTTTTAAAATCTGGCCAAAGGGACACGAAGAGTTCCTAACATCATGACCACCAGGGAAACTGGTTTCTAAGCAGCGAGACCTACGCAAGACCAAGACCACAGGGGCACGCACGCAGCGTCAGGGTGCTGCCAGCAGGTGTGGCAGAAAAGGGGGGCCTGCACCCCGCTGGAGGGAAGGTGGAACCCAGTATGGAGGGTCCTCACCGGAGCCAGGGTCCCCCGCCAGCCACGCACCTGAGGAGAAGGAACGGCATCTTGAGGAGACGCCCAACTCCCATGTCCACGGCACAGCATCACGACAGCCAGGATGTGGATGACAGGCAGAGGAAAAGTGCCACTTACGCAGCATGCTGCCAAGTCCCAAAGAAGAAGGGACACGCTGCCCAAGAGGACGTGGAGGGACTCGGAGGGATGTGTGTCAGTGGAGCACCACACGAAGCAAGAGGAACCCGGCCCTCTGCCACGTGGACGTCGGGGATCATCCAGCTCAGCCTCACCAGGAGGGCGTCCAGGGCTGAGGGACCTGGGAGGGACTGCTTCATGACGACACCGAGGGCTCCCGATGGCTCACGCCACGTCCAGGGGGACAGGAGGGCTCCGCCACGTCCCGGGGGACAGGAGGGCTCACGCCACGTCCCGGGGGACAGGAGGGCTCACGCCACGTCCAGGGGGACAGGAGGGCTCCGCCACGTCCAGGGGGACAG